TATTTTAAATATAGCGTACACTGAAACTGATATTGATTTTTTGGTGTCAAAAAAACTAACTAATTGAGGCAGTGTCTGCTCAGCACTGTTTGATTTAAATGACGCAAATAATTTATTAAGAAGTTATTATAGATAAACATTGAATTTGGTCTATTAAATGTTTTGTAACTCACGCATGTTAACACTATGTCAGTCCCATAGGGCTGGTTGGTACAAATGCACAACATGATTATTTTTCATGACACAAATCACCTCATTTAAGAGAACATTTGTGTACATTAAAATATATTTATTTTGTCCCTGTGATGAATTATTTTATATTAATTATAATTATATTAATTATAAATTATATTTTTTATTATTTCGCACCTAAATGCAAAATGAACTGGGTTTTGGAATCCAACCCCACTTGATTCAGCCAACTCTCTCGTAGTCTGTGCAAAGCAAAGGGGCACAGCCTGCATTAGAGGGTTTGATTCACACCTTCATTCACGTTTGCGTCTTTGTTTCAGAGGCCTGCCCAGAGGTACTTAGAAGAATGCAGCTTTTTCAGAATTAAAGGGCACAGGGAGGCAAAACATAAGGTGTTCAGTATGTGCTAAACTACCAGAGACACGTGCAGGTGTACACACACTTACTCCTGACTTCATACTCACCCTGATGTTTATGTGTGCTTCCAGTTCACCTCCATATTTTCATAGCTGGGTTTCAACATAGGTGCCACCTCTCGTAAAACACGAGAGCAACATGATGTCAGCAAGTCACAACCTGAAACTGTAGCTTCTAAAAACACGGCCTGTTGAGGACATTAACAACCTTACTGGGTAAGAACACTTCACACTATTGATTCAGTGGAGGAGTTTAATTACTGCGTAGCTTAGAGCAGCAGGTGACAGGGCTTTTACCTGTGAGTGACCTTTGTATCAGGTGGCTGTTTTTCTTCATGCTTTGGCTTTCTAACACATCTGACACAGCACAGACTGAGAGGGTACATGCACAGGGGTTTTTATACCATGTGCCTGTGTGCTTGTGTGCAACCGTACTGTCTCTGTCTCTGTTCTGTTCATAAGCAAATGTTTGGAGTTTTGGGGGACATGTAATGCCATCTGAATTTTTTTTTATGCATCAGACAAAACATTTAATGTCATTGTTTACAGCCCCAGTTGTGTATCCAAGCAGTCTCTAAATCTTTTGGGTTAGTGGTCAGATTTTTTAGCTTAATGGAATATTTCACCCACAAAATGACCACATACATATCAGTTACTGACTGCGTGTTACTTTGAAATTGTGAAGAAGACTTTGTTTTTCCCGCATGCCTCCAAGGTGAACAGAGAATCAAAAAAAGGCAAACCTTCTTAATGAATTGAAGTCATTAGGGACCACGTTTAACAACAGCAAAACTATATCAAAACAATTCTCACACAACTTGTGCCGTATAATACAAGTCTCATTTATCCAATCATATGCTCAGTACTTGTCAAACCAACCTGGTTTTACTCCTAAATCGTTAAATACAGATGCTTGGTCCATGGCCCTCAGTGTCAGTGGCCCTTGACGTCAGACACTGATGCACATGGATACCCTTAGTAGCGGTATTACAGGCATTGGGAGTCCCATGATGGTTTTTCGAAACCTAACCAGTGCTTTTGTTGCCTAAATGTAAAAACTATTTTTCCAAAAAAAATTTTTTACCAACATTTACCAAGCAGAGACTGTACATTTCCAACCCCGTCTCATTCCGAAGCCAACAAAAACCAGCGCTTGGTCAGTGACTTCCGGTGTCAGACACCGACTAAAAAATGCCATCCATTCACATTGGCATGATTTGTGTCAGGGGAAACGCAGGGGAATAAAATGAAAGTTCAGGCGGCAGAAATCCGAGTAGAGTGGGCAGGAGGGGTGGTGGATGGATCCAACAACCACCAACCTCCACCTGGAGGGCAGGTGTTCACTTCCTGTAAGATTGTAAAGCCAAACCCTGTTCCTGTTGTTGACTAAACCTAACCAGGGTATCTTGCATGTCGTATCTCCGTGACCAAATGTTGATATGTGACAAGGTCGGAGTGAGAATGTGTTGACATTTCCTGTGAAAACAAAAGTTTATTTTAAAAAGACACAATGCATGTAATGAGTGTAACGTGACATGCCATCCTGGGTGTCCAAAACTGAAGCAGAAGGCGAATCTAGTGCATCATATTCTAACCTGTAGGGCCACTGACCAAGCCTAGGTATGTTACGAGTAGGGAGTAAGAAAATGTTGCCACATGCATTTTCATTAAATGGTACAATTTAGAACACTTCCACCTGCAAGTAGCATGTCTTGAGCATGGCTGAGCGTACACATGGGTATGAGCTCCGCTTGCAGAGTTCAAACGCATGCATGTGCCCAGGCACACTACTCACCGGGCATGAGACTGTTTGTACTGACGTGTGTACATCGTACTGAGCATATGACTGGATAAATGAGTTGTGTACGAGATTGTAAACAGATGTTTTGATATAGATTTGCTGTTGTTAAATGTGGCCCCCGATGACTTCAATTCATGAAGAATGTTTGCCTGTGGATTCTCTGTTCACCGTGGAGGCATATTCAAGGTAACATGCAGTGAGTTACTGATATACAAATACGCATTCCATAGGTGAAGTATGCCTTATAATTCACTCTCATGTTCTGCTTTGGGTCCTTGAGACTGTGCCCTTTGAAACAGCTGAAAAACATTTTACAGTGTTCGTCACCTTGAAACTTTGTCCCCTTAGAATTACCTATGAACAAGATTTTGAACTCACATCTCAGAAGTCCACAAGAAAATGACGCATTACTTCTGTTTGAGGTCCTTGTGAGCTGTCAAGCTCTACAGCTGTGATTGGTGTTGACAAGTACCTCTTTTACACAGCACTAAATCCCAAATCCCAAACCAGTGTGGCAGGATTTCTCTTACTGGAGTTTGTTCTTAAAAGATCCAACAGGGAGCTCTCTGGGGTCTCACTGACCCCAAACATACATCGTAAGATATATTTCTTGTCTATGAATGACTTTTGGCAAAGAATGTGAATATATATTGGTTCATGCATGGCCTATACAACATATAAAGGATTAAATATTTCCTTATTGTTGTGCTTAATAGATGTTTTAATATTTTGTCTTCTTCATTGAATGTGCAAGGCCAGTGTATGTTGGAGGCCTGTTTGCTTTTCTACACTGTGTTTTGATAATATCACAAGAAAGGAAAATTATCCAAAGGAAAGAGAATTGGCTAATATTGTAATTATCTGTGGATCTGTGGGACTCCAGACAATGTGAATGTAAAAAATGTGTAAATGTGAAATGTTTGGATTGGAACATGGTTTGTTGGCACGTGTACAAATATGCCTTAACACAACAGCTTGCCTCTAAAAGCCACTTGTGGAACACTTCAGTGTCTACCAATGTCTGTCTGACACACACACACACACACACACACGCTTCTCACAAAGGAATTAAGCTGAGGATTTATTGTGTTAGTGCTGTTGGAAGAATTTACAAGAAAATGCTGTCAGCTCTGTGATCCATCATTCTTCAGGACACACCCTCCCTCTCCTGCTGTAATTCTCATGCCTTAAGTCATTTACTGTATTTACTGTAGCTGTGATTACTTAGTCTGCTTGTCACGTCCTGCAAGCAACAAGCATTGGGATATGCTTATCTTTTGATTGAAATTTTTCATATAGCTGCACTTGATTTGTCAACAGCTTTTCCATCTTTCCATCCACGCTCCATGCTTGGCCTGTACAGGGGACTTGAGCCGCTGACCCTCCGGTTACCAAGCCAAGTCCCTGTAGACTGAGCTACTGCCACCCCCAAAGATATATTAAATATATTAATAATAATATACATGTACAATAAATAATCATCTTGTTTACTTGTCCCAGTTTTCAGTGAATATCTGTAAAATATCTGATTGAGAGCTTTGTCGCGTGGAGCAACCAAAACCACCTTCAACTCAGCATCAGCAAGACTAAGGAGGTGGTGGTGGAACCGGAGGCAACTTGCCCCAGTCACCATCCAGGGTGAGGAGGTGGAGATGGTGGACTCATACAAGTAACTTGGGGTCCACATCAACAATAAACTGGACTGGACTCATAACACAGATGCCCTCTATAGGACAGGACAGAGCAGGATGTTCTTCCTGAGGAGACTCACATCGTTTGGTGTCTGTAGTGGGCTCCTCAAGACCTACCAGTCTGTGTTTGCCAGTGCACTCTTCTTTGCTGTAGTGTGCTGGTGGGGTGGAGTTAAGACTGGTGAGGTCAACAAGCTTGTGAGGAAAGCCCGCTCTGTGATGGGACTGGACCTGGACCTGGACAGTCTGGAGACAGTGGCTGAGAGGAGGGTGAGGGACAAAATCTGTGCAATCCTGGACAATCCTTCTCACCCACTGCACGACGAGCTGTGGCTGATGGGCGGCTCATTCAGCCAGCGGATCATCCCACCCAGGTGCAGGACTGAACGATTCAGACGCTCCTTTGTTTCCACCGCCATCAGACTGCACAACAGCAGTTTGGCTTAAGCTACATCCAGCTCTGAACGGACTTATTTTTGCATCTGATCAACATGACACTTGACACTTTACCAATTGACACTTTAATATATTCGACATTTTGTCTGCCATTTTAAGTCACTTTATCCATCTTGATGTAGCAATTCTATTTTCATTTTATCTTTTATTTATCTATAATTATTTTTAAAAAAAATTTTTTCTCTTATCTTACTCTATTTAATGTATTTTTGTCTTGTGCTGCTGTGATACTTGAATTTCCCCTCTTATCTTATCTTATCTTATCTTATCTTAGCTTAGTTTAATTTATCTTAGCTTAAAAGCGTGAAACAGCGCCCCCCTTGATTGCGTGGTGAAGGAGGATATTGCGCATGCTATCACTGACGTACGTCAGCGGAAATACAGGTGCGTTACCGTTAGCAAACGTTAGCTAACGACGTAGCGGAAAATCAGGTGTGTCCTGCATCGTGCTGACGCCATTTTACAAATTGAAAATGGGCAGAAATATGGGGAAGAAACTGAAGTCAGTTTCACTCTGGCCTCCCAGAGTAATACTTTGCTATGAAACAACATTTAACGTTAACGTTCAACAAAACAAGTTAGCTAACGCCAACTTGCTAGTTATGCTAATGATAGCCGGTTGTGAGGCTGGCTAGCTACCAAGCAAACAGACAAACAAAAGTAGCTAGCATTACATCAGTGGACATGGATATGGACCATTTCGCCCAACGTTACATGAATGAGAGAAGACCCGGCGTCAAATATTGTGAGTCAAATACACCACCTGTCCATCTGTGTCTCTTTATTAATGTTTAACGTCTCGTCGTGAAGTTTGTATTTGTTGTGTTTGGCTAGCTCAGTTGTTGATGTTGTGTTGGTGTCATATTGTTTATTTCTGTGCGTTGTTTGGCTGCAAGTTTGAAAATTGTTCAGTGGCTTACTGTCAACATAGCCGATAACCAGGGACAGTCAGACTGAGTCTTTCATTTTTAAATTCAAAGCATTGTACATTGTTTCCTCAGTCATCTGCTGTGTGTGATTTGAGGCCTGTGCAGGAGGTCTGCTACGACTAGTTTGCTGTGAGAAGCTTCCCATCCTTTCCTCTCTCAAACTGTGCTGTGTAATCAGTTATTAGCTTTGTAAGTGGAATACAGTCATATGTGATACATGCATGGATGAATGCCTCTGAACGCGCCTCTTACTGTATTCAGTTCTGGTCTGCACCTATATTAGTGCACACGTTTTCTTTATTTTCATTATATTTCAGTTTCTTTTATAATCAGGCAACTAATTGTTTAGTTTATGAAATCTGTGGATATGGTGGAATATGCATCTTTTTCCTACAGGCCAATGTGATGTCTTGAAACTGCTTGTTTGGTCCGACCAGCAGTCCACAACCTAAATATATTCCATAAATAATGATATGACAGATAAAGTAACAAATCCTCAACATTTAATTAGTTTAAACCTGATAATGCTTGACACAAAATTGTCAATTATTTTAATAATTTCAGCGCATGCCTTTAGGTAATACAGATGGAAATTATACAAACTATGTTTGTAAGACATGTTTGCATATTCATAGATATTGTAATTGGCACCAAAGGACACCTGAAGATGATTTGACGACAGCATATTGCACCAGACTCACCATACAGTATAAACATAGCTGTGTGTGCTCAGGTGGTAACATGCATGATCAGACTGCTGCCTCATTCAAATGGACACAGCAGTTGTGTGCGAGACACCTGACATGCAGGCGGATATAACTTGAAGGGCTGTGAGCCTGGATGTGATATTACTTGCTTCACAGCCAGGTGGACCCCTGAGACTGGAACCAGGAGGCTACCTGCAGATCCAGAGTCTGTTGGGGAAGGTTTTTCATTGGTTTGAATTTGAGGTATAACTCACACTTCCAGCAGGGCTGGAAGAAGTACTCAGATACTTACGTATGTATGTTGGAGTAACTTCTAACTTCAGCCATCAGTGGAGTAGAAAGTAAAATATTTCCCTTTAAAAATAGAATTTCTGCTACATCACTTCAGTAGTGATTAGATGTCCCAGCAAAGCATCCAACAATATTCTGCCTCGTCTTGAAGAACAGGCAGCACACTGTCTATGTGCCCTCACCCAGCCTTCTGTGTCTATTTCCAGCACAAATGAGGGCACACGCAATTTATGTTGTGAGATGCGTCTGCTTTGTTGAGCTCTAATTTGGCACTCTATTTTGTCATTTTTTCCTTTTAAAATAATTAAGTTAGTAGATATTGAGAGCCCTCACAACCCAAACCCCTTTTCTTGTGTCTTCAGGTTCACAGCCCGACCTTGGCACTGCTACTGGAGAAAAGTCTGTTTAATGTGAGCACAGCAGGTATGTTAAATTTTTTACAACTGTGTTCTGTAGTGTGTCTTGAGCTTAAGACTTTGCACGTGCAGAGCTGCACAGAGGCAGAGCTGGTTTTCAAATGTTGGATTAAAACTTACTGTTTGTGATATAGTAAAGCACTCTTGTATGGTTCCAGCTAGTTGGTGAACTTCCAGGTAAATACAAAGGCCATTCTCTGAGGACAGACACATATCCTGCTGTCATGAATGATGTTATTTATACAGTTAGGTGCCTGGTCCACATAACACAAGCTGAATTTGTCATCAAAGCCAACAAACCTTTTTGGAAAATGGTTTTTATATGCGTATTGATGTCACAACCATGCAAGTTGGATCAATGCAAAATATGCCATCTGACAAATTGGACATTGTCTGCTGAAATATTTCTGTTATATTCTTTTATATCAAATCTCTTTCTGTTGAATAATTGTGCTGTTTATACAATGTAGTTTTTACAGTATTACTGTAACTGCATTTTCCTTTGTTTGGAAAGTGCACTGTGCTTCTTACCCCTACTATTGTGTGCTTTGAGCGCCATCTTGTGGTGATTCAGTGAAGACTTTTTGTGCCATCCAGTTTTTGGCACAGCCTATACAGTGCATCTCATCATGTCCTTTATGTATGTTATTGAGCCCTCAAAGTCTAATTTTCCTAAAATGTGTAATAGTTCTCCAGTGTGGTAAGATTATTTCCACCTTTCCAATATAGATGAACTGTTTCAAGATTTGTTTTTAGAAATTAGTGTCAGTATCGCGACAGAAAAAATCGGATCACAGCACACGAATGAAGGAAAAAAAAAACGAACAAACCAAAAAATTAGATTAAAAATGATAAAATAAATGGAAAAAATCATCATTAACTCATTTTTTTTAAACTTGTTTAGAGAACATGAGACTTTTCAGGCTCAATATTTGACAAAACAAATACTTGCTATTGTACTTTATCTTGAGATTTGTTTTCAGTGTTAAAACTCATGAGTCAAATAGTAAGATTATTTTTCTTTTAGGCCATCTTTGGAGGGGTGAGCACATAGAGAGAAATGAAGGGTTGAAATAGATGGAAAAATGATTGGAAGAGATGTGGAGCAGCAGTGAAGCTGTAAATTGACGCTAAATAAATGAGATCCACAGGAGGAAGACAAATTCTTTATTCATAACAATCAGATCATATGAGTCCATCCCGTGGCGTCTGACACAGAATTGTGAATTAAGACACACTTAACACCCCTGGAAATCTTGTCTTTGCTGACGTCCAGTGGTTTAACTCTTCCCCTTGCTGCAGTGATGGCAGCAGTGGACACTGGGATCGTGTGATATTACTGTTGGGTGAAGTTACAGGTGTAACACACTTCTGACTACACCCAACGACACCCATCAGAGAGGCTGCATTTGGTCGTAGGTGAAACAAGCTTGAACCAGAGAGGACAGCAAAGCAGTGACTCCAGACATTATGGAATATAGCTTTTAAATATGCACTGAGAAAACCTGCATTGCTGCAATACTGTCCACACTCATACATGTGCACAACACATGCATTGGTGCAAAGGCAGTTGTGTATCTCAGGCAGACTTGACACTAGCACCCTCATGTGGCACATGGTTAAACAGCACTTCTGGGATTCTTCTTCTTCTCTGGCATTCACTCTTTGCTTGATAAACTAGGAGGAACTACAGGAAGTCTTTAACTTTCTTAAACTTTAGAACGTGGTGTCCTGTGTCATAATTTGTGAAGGTACATACACTACATTAGACTGGAATACAGTGTTCCCTCACAACCTCACATTTTCTCAGGAACCTCCTCATCTGATAGACTCAGTGGCAGCTATATAGTCCTGTGAAAATTGTTGTTGTATATTAACAGACCCTTAAACTAAAAGCCCTCCCCAATTGGCCTGTAAACTACACACACTAAGACGAGGACTGCTCTGTTGATACTGCCCTTCTCTGGCTTGTGTGTCTTTGACAGGGTGAGTGGTAAGGTGGCAGGGTGCACTGATGTGCCAGATGGTGGCAGTCTATGAATAATGCATCGCTGCTTTCAGTCAGACAGGTCCAAGCTGATCTGAGGTCAGCTGAATGACGCAGGTGGCTGCTGGGTGGTTCATGCTGAGTGGTGAGGTGGGCCACCCAGGGGTGAGCCGGGCAAACGGGCTCTTGACATGCATTACTCATGTCAGTCTTATTTAGGTACAGGGCTCTGTGATCATTTTATCCCAAGGAGCACATGCACTTCTAAATGAAAAAAATTACAAGAAATGTAGGAGCAAACAATGAATTGCATACATTTTTTACTGCTTGTTTGTGTGTGTGCTCCTTCTCCTTGTGTGTGATCATGATGTGGAAAGCAATGGACTATGGAAGTGGAGGACCTTGTAGACCAGAAGCGTTCAATAAAATTTAAAGAGGTCAGTTACCTCAAACCTCATTATTTAATTTAATCTATCAAATAAAATCAACATTGTGAATTTACATATCATTTCAACAATTTATTGTCAATTTTCAAAGAAGGATACTTTCAACACACAGACACAATGAACTTGGAAATGGTCAGAGGCTGGCAGTTCAGGGTTTGGCTGTGTGTAGTGTGTGTGTGTGTGTGTGTGTTTGTGCAGTAAGTGTGCCTTTTCTAGATAGTAAATCTCAGACACAATTTCCTGTGCTGCAGTGTTTGGTCAGCCATGATAAAAATGGTACAGTGGATATTTGTGTAAATTTCTGTTATTAAATATTGAGGGCCTGTAAACAGCAACACCTTGAAATACATATTACATGAACCCAAACAGGCAATTTTAAATGGTACAGCTTTTCATAGTGCATATAGTGCCATATTTTTGTCCAAAAAGGTCTGTACTTAAAGTGCATTTTGTTAACAATTACCAATAATTTTGCACTCTTCGTTGGAATTTTTGCCCACTTGTAGTGCAGCTTAGCTTGAGCTAAGCTAATAATCAGAATAACTTTAATACTTTTTTTTTTTTTTTTAGTTTTTGACAGACATTTCTTTTTTTAGATGTGAAACAGCTCATGGAACTGACCCGTAACTTACTCTTTAGCATACACAATTTAGTTTAGTTGGTGAAGGACTTATAATCTTAAACTTGACAACATGAAGATTAACATAAACAAGACAACATTATTTCCTTTTGAAGTGTTTGTTAATACATTAGCTGACAGGAAGTGAACGAGGACCAAAGCTGTTGCCCTAGCAACAGAACAGCAATGCAAAGGTCCATAGACTCCACTAGTTCATGCTTATACATGAACATGAATATCCAGTCTATTATCAGGTGTTTGGAGTATCCCCTTTAATGTGATTGAACATGTAAAAACCATATATTTAGTTTACGAGAGACCCAAATATGTTAGCTGGAGTACAGCCAAATAATCTGCGATGTATACTGGGAATATGAATAACCCGATTTCCCTGAGCTCATGTAAACACCATATCCCGAATATAATTATAACCAGGACCTCTTGAATGGGTCTTTCATGTGCATGTAAAGAGTCTATGGTACGTGTCATTGCTGTTCTGTAAGGCAGTTTCTATAAGCAAGTTCATCTACAGGAAAAAAAAGCAGCAGCTGATTAGACGAGCAGATGAAGACATTTAGCTGCTGTTGATCAGAGTGCTTTATGTAAGATAAATATAAAACAATAAAAAACAGTTAACTCAGATATAATCTGGATTATTTTAAAGTCAGTCATGGTTTTTTGTGACTTTTCTCCCCATGCGGCTAGCACAATAAATATAAATATTCCATAAATACTTTAATGGTTTTATTATTATGCCATTAACAACCACAGATAATAATAACAAAGTAAATAATTGATAGCCTGTAAACTAAGACAGGGCTTGACGCTAAGTTTTTTCCCAAGGAGCACATGTGCTTCTAAGTTGAAAAAGTAAGGAGTGCACAAAGAACTTTAGGGGCACAATGAAAATTGATCAAATAATGTGTTTTCCGTAATAAACGTGATGCAAATAGACATTTACAAGCAAAATTATTTAATGAATTTGTATACAAAATGTACAGAAAGGTAAAATCATCAAGTTTTGAAAAAGTATTGCAATTTAATTTTGTCTTTAATGTTATTATCTTATATATATTATATTTGCAATGTGATTATCTTATATAATGTTATTACTATCCTAAAACATTCTCCAGGTCCTCTGAAACTCTGCAGGACTTATTTCCACCCTGCCCAGCAGCGGTACCGTGGCGAACGGTCCCTAACTGCGGGGAGAACGGAGCAGGCTTCCCTGGAGGTCCGCCGCTTTTCCCAGTCCCTCGTCTCCGCCACACTTTGACTTATTCCCACCCAGCCGACAGCCTGGCCCTGGAGAACGGTCCCTAACTGCGGGGAGAATGAAGCAGGCTTCCCCCGAGGTCCGCCGCTTAACCCGGTCCGTCTCCTCCTCCACACTTTGACTTATTTCCACCCTGCCGACAGTGGGACTTATATTCATTGTGTCGACAGTGGCTTGGAAAACCGCCCATAACCGTGTCACACGGGGAAGAGGGAAGAGGGAAGGCTGCTGGAGTTCTTTCAACATTTGCGGTTAGATTATCATATTTTTTTTATTGACAAAAATATAGGCTGCTTCGGCTGATTTTTTTATGTGCACATGTGCCCCTAAATATTTTTTACAGTTTGCACACACCTTTTTTTAAGTCACAAATGGGAGTGAAACGCTTGCACTGTCGAGTGCTGTAAGAGACTGTGAGAAAATTTGCTACACTTATGTTTACAAAGATGTCTTCATCAATTGAACTGTCAAATGAAGCGTGCTGCATTCCCATTGAAACTTCACACACCATGGTCAGTTTGCTTTCCCTTGCCTCTGCAGCTGCTGCTCCTAATCCATTAATGTAATCTGATCAGGTTTAAGTGATCCAATTCTTCACCCTGGTTCCACTGTCTTTCACCAGATTTGGGTTTTCTCTCTCCAATAACTGCCAAGCTGGCGGTCAACAGCGGTGTTGCTCAGAAATAAGCATTCAAAACAGAAGGCACCAAGTGCTTCTATATACACATTTCTACAAATCCCTGAAAAGGTAAGAATTCAATACAGAGCTTACAGTAAACAATCTTGTATTTGTCAGACTTTGGCTCTTTTAGCCACTCTACCGCGTACGGAGTTTGTTATATTGTTTTGGTGCCCATATTAGACGCTGGACACGTATGTCAGTGTTCTTACCAATAATCTGGTCCCAGCAGTATTCGGGGGAGAGCAGCCTGCTTGGTTTGTGAAGCCAAAAGTACTTATTCAGATGACTCTCATCATGCCACAGAGCCTCCACGTTGTTTCCTTTGTCCTCCATGATACCCAGAAAGCAGAAATCTGCCAAATTCTTCACATTTTCCGACAAGCCTCCAAAGACAGCAGCATGGTAGTAGTAATCTCCAGTTTCCATGAAGGCTTTGGATTTGGGGTTTCTGTCGTAGGTGAATCTGTTCTTTGGAAGTTTGTAAAACCACGCATGTAGCAAAGCCACAGAATCCCCCAGAGCCTCTGAGCCAAATCTTCCCTTAAACACTTGATCCACATCAAAGCAGAAGACATATCTGCAGTGGTGACGAATCTCTGATTCAATGGCATCTGATATCGTTTTCATCCGCATCATGGAGATGTCCTGCCACCTGGACTGCTTTTCCACCGACATCACCTTCAGGCTCCGCTTAGGACCAAGGTCGATATTTGGTACCTTCTCTGGCTGATCCGTGAAAATGTAATATGTCACCTGTAAACCCAACATAAAGTGTTGTTCTGCTGTGGTAAGGAAAGTCTTGAGGTAGGCGTCAAAGTACCTTAGGTGGAGACAGAGAGACAAATAATTGCTTTTGTTCATAACTAAAATACTGAGAGAAACACTACGATAAAATTATCATATCATGGGTTAGTGTCATGCTGTGTATTTTATTATTTGAGACGACTATCATACAGATTTACGACTGCTGACCTTTTAGACTGTTTTAAAAATGGTGTCTTACTTGACCTTGGTTTCAAGTCTAATCCCACAGGTCTGCTGCTATATGCAGTGTGTTTGCATAATGCTTTTTAATACAAGTGCAGGTGTTCATCAACATTGCTCGAAAACAATGTTGTTGCCCACTTTTGTGACAATAACGGAAAAAGAGGGATGATGTATGTGCCAGGGAGAGAAAGATAAAGTGACATTCAAATATTCCTTTGTTGAAAACACACAGGTTCCAACCATATTCGGATATTGAAAATAAAAAACAATCATATTTTTGCACATTATGTTCATGAGAAACCAATAGGAGAGACATATAAGTGCTTGTACAGGCAGGCCTTTATTTAAAGTCTCTTTAAAAAGATCTACATACTCACTCATTACAAATAAATAAATGAATGAACTATACCATAAAATTTAATTTAAAGACTATATATCCTGATCTGACTCTCTCTTGCTCCTAATACTACGCCATGATTGGTGCTAGACCAAGAACTGGGCGTTCAGTGCATTGATAGAGCAGCAAACAAGAGATAAGATATAGACAAGATCTGGTGGTTTAATAGCACCCTGAGCAGAGAATTAAGTCGTTCTCCCTCTGTGTGTTGTAATCGGACTCTCTTTGTTCTTTATTGTGGTAGATGAGGTCACACGTGGATATGCGTGTGTGTGTATCCCACTGGCTTGCTAATCTCTGCCGCTCTGCACTGCGCTCATGCAGGATTTACCGCTGACAACACTGTCCAGACCCACAGTGGCTGGACAGTGTTGTGGAAGCATAGTGCCCAATGTCCTGTTCCTCCCCAAATTAACACTGTTGTCTCCGTCAGCGCTGTTGCTGTTGTCAGCACCGTTTGCATTGTTAGCATCGGTAGATATGCTCTAAATGTGGTATATCACCTTTGAATTAAGTTTTATACAATATAGATTGGACATTGAAAGCTTAAAGTGAACTGTGCTTCTGGAGAAACAAACCTTCCCACAGCAAACACAGTGAGGGCCACAGTTGAATTTCTTTCGATGTGCTGCTGGTCGTAAAGATTAGAGTCGAACATCCCCTCCCAGATGATGGGAGCATTCCAAGACGTACGTGTAGCAACCCGTGGCCTGGCCCTGAAATGGAAGATAAAAAACAAAGATTTAACAGCCATATAAGGCGGTGTATCGCAGCTTGTTCTGTGTGGGATGTTGTTCTGTATAAAGTGACTATATTGCGAACATTTAGTATCATCATTTTTTTAAGCCACCGCCATGAGAGTTGCTCAGGTGTTTTTGTTCTCTGACACTCTCTTATGGCTCTCACCCTCTCACAGATACAAAAATTAAATGTCATTCGTTTTTGTGTCAGTAGGGCTCTGACTATTCTATTTAGACACATTGTGCCACCATGGAGCACTGGTGTGTGATGTAAATATTAATATATGAACTGGAGAGCTGGAAGCTTTAAGTTTACAGCAAAACATCAACACTTCTGGCCTGAGATGAGCTGGGGGGCTTCAGAAGAAAAAATCAAACCAGTTAAGGCTTGTACACCGTACCAGACTGGCAAAACCGGAAATTGACCCAACTCTTTCTGCACATACAGCCATTTTTTTCTGATTATGGCAATGATATGAGTAAGACATGTATTTCATTGAGATTTTATTAAGTATGTTTACCATAACATCATTACTTCTTATCAAACCTCTCAGTAAAAGCAGTTGGACAACATGATGTGTCTAAATATACCTTAAGATAAATTGACTAGATTTTTGAGCAAAACTAAAAAGACATCACTTACCCAAAGTTAAGCGTGTCATCTACATTGATGCTCTGTCTCTGTTCTCCTTTACTGGTCACTGGCGGGTTGTCCACAGGGACGAGGGTCGTTAATTGTCTAATATTGAAAAATGACCATCATGAGACTGGAATAAAATTATTTTGAAGTGACTCTTGCAAATAAATCAAATTAGCCACCACTGCTGACCCGCAAATTGTAAGATTTTGTGGTTCGGACTTGAAACACTCTATGAAAGTTAGACACCATCTGATGATCTCTCCTCTTGCCCAAGGCAGCTAGTAGACTAGCTATGACTAGACTAGTATAAAAACATTCGATAGATATATGAAAACTCTAGGTCTTAAGGTTGTTTGGTTTCACTTGAAGGAGTATAGTACATTTAAACATTACTCTGCCAAATCCACAAAATTTAGAGCAAGCTTATAGTTATCAGAGCTATTTTATACTCTGTAACCAGATTATACATTCATTAGTCCAAACTGCCCAGAGTGTCACCGTACACCAGCAGTAATAGCAGTTACCTTTTGTACTCCATAGCAGACTGGATTGAACTCTTTCCAGAATTGTCAATTGTCTAATATTGAAAAATGACCGTCATGAGACTGGAATAAAATTATTTTGAAGTGACTAAGATGAATACACCTCAATGTTTTTGTGTGTGATAGGGTCTGCATCACGAAGAATCTGATAGTTAAAGCTGCAGTAGGTAGAAAGCTTGAAACACGGTTGATTTTTGAGTCTCATCTGAGTTAGGTTTCGTTCGTCTCTGCCCTGAACCCCTCCTACAGGACGAACACACGAGTATTTTATCCTACTTGGTTCTATTTCTCCCTCTCTGGGAGCCTCGGCTCTCCCTCTCCACGCAGCAGCCCTCCCCATCCCTCCCTCACAGACCCGCACATACTCCCGAGCCTCGGCTCTCGCTCTCCGTGGAGAGCCCTCGGCTCCGCTTCCACGGCCGACCCTCGCGCCCTCCGGCCGGGCCCGGCCCCACCTCACCCTTCCCCTCCCTCCGGGGCTCTGGGGAACCGAGTTCTGTCTTCCTTTTTTTGGGTTTAGCTGTGTAGAAAGTTGTAGCCAATGCTGGAATAGCTATTTTACCTGGTGCACTGTTCGCCATTGCTGCTTGTTCTCCCCTTCTGCCAGCGGCACAAGAACGCGCATATGCAGTAAAACAGCCAATAGGAACGGAGTGGTCTGAGCTGACCTTTGATTGGTTGATGCACATCGGCAGGATATTGATTCTTTAGAGGCTGAACACAGAGCCATGGTGAGGTGCAGAAACCTATTGTTTGTCTCAGACCACTTGATTTACATTATGCTTAGAGGATATTATAAAATTTTTACTCAGTTATACCAAAACAATGTTGCCTACTGGAGCTTTAACTAAAACATGATAATAAATGGATGAAAAAACAAAGGTAATCATCTTTCCTACCACGAATACCTGCACTGAGCCTATGCAGCCAAAACTAAAAGGTCACATTTCTTACCGTAACTTAAGTGCGTTGGCTAAATTGATGATCTGTCTCTGCTCTCCTTCAATGGCCACTGGCAGGTTTTTGGCAGGCCTGAGGGTCGCTAAATGTCTAACATTGAAAAATTACCATCATGAGACAGGGTTAAAATTATCTTGAAGTGACACTTGCAAATAAATCAAACTGGCTTGTATGTACTCTTATCAGCCAGCAAGGGCAATAATATTACTGTGGCACTCACCTTAAATATAAGGAAGTGAAGCTAATAACAAGCAACACAAGACAGCAGAAGGTTCTAGCACTCCATGTATTGAGCCAACTGAAATGATGTAAAAGCAAACAAAAAGGGACAACCTCAGTGCAGGCAATATAATATATGGTAATAAATGTCATGCAGTCTTTGATATGGTTGTGATTTGGGTGATTTATCCCAGTAAAAAGAGAACCAGCTTCGTAGTACTGAAAACCCAGAGTTAACCCTGAAGTTCGATGCAAATCCAAATCCTGCTTTGAAGTACAGGCCTCTGTTCACCAACTATAATTAAACGTTTTTTGTGTTAAGTTGTCTTGCCTATATTTACTCGTACTAGTTACCTCATAGCTGTAAAAAAATTCTCTTAATTTTTCCAGCAAACAAACTCTGGCAGGAGGTGAAGGTATCTGTTGGCTGGTGGATACAATGGCACCTGAAAGAAAACACATTGCATTGTGAGATCGTTAGCAAAGCAGTTTACATGGCATGGACGCCGTTGTTAGAACAGTATATCTAGCATAAATTTCAGAATTCTGAATCACAAAATTAAATGTCAGAGTAAATATAGAGCACTCGAAAGGGTCGCTGTAACAATTGGCGTATTGGAAGTGAACAGCCATAGTGTGGGGGTCACAGTTCGGTGCATGTAGCTGCATGCAAAATACATGGTATGTAGACTGATGCACGCCAATTAGCAATAGCAACAGGTGCTGAGGTTAGCATAACAAGCTGAGGTTAGCATAACAAGCTGATTGGCATGCGAGTCAGTCACCAAATGAAACTTTCGAGAAAAAAACACCCTGGAGCCAAACTTTTTGTCACTGCTGCTTTCAAGCAGTCGTTACACACAAAACAGACGGAATAAAACAATTTACATTAGAGGATAGCCAAAGTGTGACTAATTGAAACACTTGTCCTAATGCACTAGTTTTACTTTTTATTAGTCTATATATTTTGTATTTTCAATTATAAGCACAAGAGACGCCTTTCAGTTTTAAAGCCTGTTGTGACCTGTTGCCTTCAGTGTTGGTGTTGTATCATACAGAAGTGTTTGAAATATTCCCAATTTCTATTATACAAAGCGATTTTGCCTGGCTTTGACACTTGAACTACTGTCTGTTCAAAATTAATGAAAAGGAGCATATTCATTGAATTTGCTATTTCCGCTTGTCTGTGTCACATTATAGTACACCCCTACAATAAGATAAAAAAATGGAGTGTTTCTGGACCCTGCTGAGGACTAATATTTCAATCCAAATTAGACAAGGTTGCTCACTCAAATTCCATGTCTAATTATTTTGATAATTACTTGATTAGTGATCATACCTCTTGTTATATTATGATAATTTAACATTCACACAAATAATACAAATAAACGCAAAACAACTGAGGTAAACCAGTGACAGTTTTCCCTTTGTGCCATGACTTGGCTAAAATGTGTACCGCTTACCATGACAAAACCAACCAGACTTTAACTATAATGTTTTTAGTCAAAACAAATTGAATGGTGATGCAAAATTCAATGTCTTTTATCTTTCTTAAATGGCTCCTGTGAATATTTACTCTGGTCGAAAAGGTCTCATACTTCAAGACCACTGATGACCTTATATAATGATTAACAGGCAGGTGAATAAAACAAATTATTCTCCACCTCTTTTTTTAAAAGTTATTGACACACATGACCAGCAAATTTCTCAATCCCAATTAAGTTTTAGCTTTTAGATTATATTTAAAATAATGCAGTTGTTTGAAAAAAAAAAACAAAACAAAACAAAAAAACGTAATTTATGACAATGAAGTGAAAATTGTTGTGTTGAACAGAGAAACAAGGGAAATACAGGCTATAGGTCAGGCTATAGATAAAACCGTAGCTTATTCTAAACAGTCAAAGCGAGCCACACGTTTCCTGATAGAGACATTGCTGATGAATTACCTGCATGCAGGTTGTCTTCAGGTAGAAGTCCACAACATACCCAGAACATTAACAGGATCTACGACCCTCGGGACACTTTCTGTGGATTTTTCTGCGGCGGCGATCTCCCTCCGTGTGTGACATTCAGGGAGTGGCTCATCTGAAAAGGTTCAGTTTGGACACGCTGGTTTTATTGCCTTTCATTAAACCTTGAGCGTTGATACACATGCCATACAGGGTTTTTTCTATCAGAGTCCAGACCAGGAAGTTTGTGACTTGGCACAGCATGAGGTCAACTTTGCTGTAATTAAGACAGGAGAGGAAGATGATTGACAGGCATCTCAGAGCAGGTTCATCGGTCAGTCTTTTACTATTTTCCACTCTTTCATTATTTTCTTTTTAACAGGAGCTCATTCAGCTAATAGGAATGTATTTACATGTGTTCATCATGTGCCCTGTTTTTCCATTTTAATTACATTTTTTTTTCAGTAAGTCACAGTATCTCATTTAATACATTGTGTTAATAAGCATCTTATTTGTAACCTACAACAGCTAAAGGCACTGTAGTGGGAGGACAGGTGTCATTTTTGTGTACAAATGCACGACACTTGATGCCTGCTGCATGTGTGCTGTTGACCTGCACATTATGCACAGCTCACCTGTGTTTTGTGTTCTTACGAAACATGTTTGAAAAATTATTTGACAATTTTTTTTAAGCCATTCTGGTGGCATGGCTCGAAGGATGACCATGTCGGTTTGTTGTCCAGTAGACAGAAATCTCCAAACCACTATTGGATGGATTGCTATAAAATGTGGTACAGACTTTCATTTACACTGTGAGGTATCTCCACGTCTACTTGATGGATTGGAGCACAATAAATACAGATATCCATGTATCCTACAGAATAAAATTAAATGTTTGAAAAAAAAAACATGTAGTATCATCCATCCCTAATCACAGGCCCATTTGCCACCTTGGACTTACTTCTGCCATTCACACTAGTCTGCATTTACTCCACGACCATAATTTCCCAGAGTAGTGCCAGAAAGATGATCTTCCATTCAAGTCAGACAAGTGCTTGCAAATGCTCTCAGCAAACATGGACTTTACACTCCTAGATTACAGGAAAGGTCCATTTGCCCCACCTAGGAAGCGTCATTAAACTGTCGGCCCCATACTCCCTCTTTTTATCATATCACTACAAGTCTGCTATCTGTTCTCACAGTCGACTATTATAAAATCTTTTTCAACCCCATCCGTCACACACAGATACACAATCCAGCTTCCTGCATGGACTTTAAAAGCTGCTGCTGCTTAATGATTAAGCTCTACATGAAGAGGCAATAACCTACGTTTTATTCTGCTTACTGAGACCAGGTTCAACCCTGCTAACCATACACTGAAAATACCATCGCACAGTAATTCAAATATTTTATGAAAGTTCAGCCCACTTGCCAAACAATCAAGATACAAAACCTACTTATAAAGTATAGTTTGCTAATTATAAAAGCATCAAACAAATTAAGTGATAGAATAAGATCCACACATTCACATCCAACACATAAGAACACAGATAAAACATCTATATGGAAATTAAAAGCAAATGACCTGGGGCCTCATTTATAAAACCTGGCGTAGGATCCATACTAAAAGTTTACCTACGCTGAAAAGCTGAAAAGTGCGTAAGCAAAAAAGAAGTCGGATTTATAAAACCATGCCTACGCACACCTGCAAGCACTTTCCCTTTATAAATCACAGTCCAACCGGAAAGTTGCGCAGCAGGATTTGATTCATGTCCCTCCCTCTCCACACCCACAATTCACCATGTAAGGTCATGCAAATTACCTCATGAATGTGTTTTGCATATAAATAGGCATGATGGATCCACGGCATTTCACGCTGAATCATGGCAGCAACCAGAAGAAAGAGGAACTTTTCTGAGACAGAGATCGAGGTGCTTGTGGATGAGGTGTCAGCGAGACGGGAAACTTTATTCGGCGGCCATTCAAGTGGCATTACCAACAAACGAAAAGCCACTGAATGGCACGCTGTGGCCACGGCAGTAAGCGCGGCTGGCACAGAGCGCAGTGTCGCCGAAATAAAAAAGAAGTGGTCGGATTTAAAGGTGGAGGCAAAAAAAAAAGTGGCTTTGCACCGCCGGAGCGTGGCGGCTACAGGTGGGTCCAGAAAACACATGAAACATGCACATGTGGTGAAAGTTCTGAAGCAGCATTGTAAAAACACAAAAAGGATTTAGGCACATTTATCTTTAAACAAAATCTGATAAATGCATGTGGAATTTGTTCTCTTGCACATGTAGTCTACATTTGTAAACTAGGCAATAAAAAAATCGGAATCTGCTAAATCAAAATATTCAAAGTGAAAACTGTTGGTCACATTTCAGATTAAATGTTGTGAATAAGTCCTAAATATAGCTACATCGAAATGTTAAATCTAACGGCACCCAATAGCTGCAATGTGGTTTTATGAATGAAAAATGTAACACTACTTAATCATGCTTGCAAGGTTCATTTTCTGTGATGTTGCCGCCACCCCTTTGTGACTCTTGACTGAGCAGAAAAAGTAGTTTTACACAGGTGGCGGCCGTACCATGGAAGAACCTACACCACTTCACACCAAAGTGGCTTCCATTCTCGGACCAGCCAGCATGTCTGGTGTTGTGTCAGAGAGGGAGGGGGACACAGATTTTGCTCAAGAGGAGAGTGGTAGGTTACAATTTCATATGTTTATTCAATCAAATGTTTGTACAGACATGTGGCAATAAATGTGACTTGTGTCCTCAGTCACGTTACAGGTGGTAGCAGTGGGCGAGGAGGAGGAGGAACAGGTGGTGGAGGAGATTCCCAGCACGTCTGGCACGGACCCGTCTGTACCCAGCGCGCCCAGCGGATCCAGAGTGCGCGGAGGTGGCCGGGTTCTCACCGATCGCGTCCTGGAAACACAGCGGGAAACCATCAGTGCCATCCGTGAAGTCAGGGATGAACTAACACAAATACGCATGGTCATGCAGAATATGTGTGAACTGATTTCATCTGCAACTGACGCAATAAAACAGTTACAAAAGTGAAGCGCACTTGCCTTTTTACACACGCCGCATCACTTCCTCACGTAGCCTTGCTCCATGCTGATGTTCCTCATGTCGGGGAGGTGGCTGTGGGTCGGGGTCTACGTGTTGCGGGGGGGGGGAGGTCAGGTGGGAGAGGGATTGCATCCCTCAGTGCCAAATTGTGCAGTACTCCACACGCTCTTATAATTTTGCACACTTTTCTGGGGTGGTAGAGCAGCCTGCCACCTGAGGCATCTAAGCACCTCCATCTATTTTTTAGCAGGCCGATGGCGCGCTCCACAACGGAACGTGCACGGCCATGCGCTATGTTGAAGCGCCGTTCCTCCGCACTCTGCGGGTTTGGAAATGGTGTGAGGAGCCACCGCCTCAGTGGGTAGCCGCTGTCACCTGCAAGGTATAACCAGAGTAATTAAGAAGCAGACTCGAATTACAAAACATTCCACGAGCGCCACTCAGTGACAGTGGCAGCAACAGAATGGGCCAAATAGAGAAAAGAATTTACCCAACAGAACAAGTACAGTTGCATTATGTGAGAATGTAATACTTACCGAGGAGCCAACCATCACGACCAGCACCTGCCTGCAGTCTGTTCCCTACACCGCTGTGCGCCAAAATGAATGAATCATGTGTTGAACCAGGCCACCGTGCCACTAAATTTGTCAACACCATTGAGGGGTCACAAATTATTTGTACATTTATGGTGTGCACATTTTTTCGGTTCACATATACAAATTCGTTCTCGCTGGGGGCTCTTATAGCAATGTGGGTGCAGTCAATTGCGCCGATTACATTAGGGAAACCGGACATTGCTGCAAATTGCCTTTTGCTGTTGGCCTGTTCAACAACAGTGTAGGGAAACCTGATGTAGCGACTGGTCATTTGGATTATCCCATCCAAAACAGCTGGCAGTGCAGCACTGAGGGATGGCTGTGATATCCCAGACCTATTCGCACAGGATTTATTATTAATTTCTATTTCCTGAATAGAACAGAAATCTATAAATTGAATTTATATCAATAGACAATAAAAGAAATAGGCATACCTGTCGGATAATTCCCTCTGGAACGAGCCCGTTGCTAGGAAACCCAACGCTGTCAGCACTTTAATGTGTGCCGGTATGGCGCGGTTCCGGTGGGTTGGTCGCTCTAAAATTGGACTCAATTCAGCAATCAGATCCAAGAGCAAGGCTCTAGGTAGTCTGAAACGGCTTATTAGCCAGTCATCATCATGAGCCAGGAAATCTTCCCGATCTCGGAATACCCTCTCCAGTCGGATCCGTCCATTGGCATGGTCTTCGAGAAGTGCAAGTGCATCCATTGTGCCTTATTGCGCACGGCTGCCACTGAATGGCTATTTATATGCGCTCTTTCCATTAACCAATCGTTCTCACCTTGTCACAATTGTCTCCAAAATGTGCTTAAGCAAGGTCTGTAGTTTGCTTAAAGTTACGCACATTCCTACGCTAGTCTTTTTTTTTATAAATCCCAATTCTTGCGTAAGAAGTTGCGTACGCACTTCCAAGCCCGGTTTTGTGCGTAAGCAAGCTTTATAAATGAGGCCCCTGCTAGATAAAGTGCTTAAAGTGCATTAAAAACATCAGCCATTTTGCATAATAATTTCACCTGATATAAAAAACAATATGACAAATAAAAGTTGTAAATCCTTGTTATGGAGAAGCTGGAACCAAAATGCTAAACATGCTTGTTATTTAGGTACAAAAATGACTGAAACAATTGATCATTTAATATAACATATATAACATATAACAATATATACAATATATAACATTTAATAGCTGTTGATTTTTTGTCAATCAAGCGATAAAATATCAACTTGTTGTAGCTCTACATATCTAGTTCACAGCTCTTTAATGACCTGATATCAGGGATTATTATTAAAAGTCTTTGTTTATTAGATGTGCTCATGAATAAAATTTGTGTTCACCATATTTCTTTTGAGTCCTGTGGGTTGTGAGGTGGGAAACCAGCACATCCCTTGTGCTGATCAGGTTGGGATATGGGGAGTTTGGAGGCCAGGACCACATCTGTCAGTGGTTTTAATATTTTGGCTGATTGGTGTATACACTAGCAGGATATATGATAGTGTTCTGGCCATCAGTATGGCAACCGTTGTCTGCAGGATTGGACCCACATCTGCCTTTGACTTGTAATAAAGAGTGCTGTAAAACAACACTTACTAACTGGTAGGGGGAAGTGTTTCAGAGCCATCTGAGTTTTAATTCAACACTATGTAGCCTTCCAGCAGTTAACTTGACAATGCAGCAAAGATTTGTGCTTTGTGCGATTATTTGTCCCATAAGCCTTGATCTTACTGGATTAGCTTGCTTTAGCCTGCTGTGACATAATGAGCCCCTTCTGACACATGCTGTAGATTGAATTTAATAATTATTAAACCCGTATTAGAAACCCTACTTTTAATCTAAATATCTAACACCATAGGACTGGGTAATTGCATCAAAACTAATTTTTACATAACAACATTAGCATTTATTTTGAGTTGTGTTGGTGCCCACAAACACAACTCCAGTGTCCATTTTCAGCTGTAACTGTAACATTTAAAGATATGTAGTTAAACACAGTGGTCGGACCTCTGACGTCCTTGCGATTGTTGTGGCCATGCATTTCCCATTTTTCACTGAGTTTCCTCAAATGTGTGAAACAGCACTTCTCTGAGTTGAAATTGCTGTCAGTGAGTTTGGTCAAATACAGGATTGCAGCCTTATCAGCATCTACTGAAAGAAAGGAAGGTGAAGTTAGCATCCTTTGATTAAAAGATGGTTATGTATCAAACAGTTAGATGTGGTCACTGTTACACTCTGGCCTCACAACAAACACCATTTAAATAAAAAATAAATACTGGGAGGGATACCTTTGTTTGTGTTACTAAGGATACCAGCTCTGGTGTTTTTGTAAGATTAACTAGCAGCAATGTGTTTTGTCAACAGACAAAATGGTCATCACAGGGACATAGTGAGATGTTAAATACGACATGGATACTCCATCTCTATGAAAGAAAGGAGAATGGATTTCAGTGTGAAACTAGTATAATGTTCCTGAGAGTTTTTCACATTCCTAACTGACTGAATCAGCCATAACTGGTGCTTCATCTATTCTGTTGTGTGTATTTTAGGCATTGCAGGTGGTCAAAGCAAGCACAAAATACTGATGTGTGATTGGTCCTCTCTGAGGTGTGTAGTTTGTTCCATTAATTCAAGATGTTGACTATCATATTGGGGCAATGATGTCATGCAATTCAATGTTAAATGAAATGAGCAAACCAGCGAAAGTTTATGGCATAACAATGTCATTTAGTTACTGATTAACTGTATGAGTTAATACTTAACAGTATATAATTGTAGTTGTGCAGGCCACAAAGCATTGCAGCAGGACTTTGAAGCAATTAAAGTTAAACTTTAACCTAAATAATAAATAATGCAATTCCATGCATTCATATACTTGTGTTTGTGTGTTTTGGCTCAACGCGCCTGTACTGATACGACCATATCGGGAAGCCACAGGGGTGTCTGTGTCATCGCATCCAACAGTCTCTGTTTCTACCTGTCTGGATTAAAATGCAACCCTGGAGTTTTCAAACTAATACGGGTCAGCAGTCTTTTTAAACGTCTCAATTTTTAGGGTTGGGTTAGGGTTATGAGTATGATTTATAGCTTTTATCTACCATAGAGGAAAGGTTCAAATGAAAATTCTGTAAATCATAATATGAAATTTCAACACCTTTCTAGCATGTTACTTCTTGTATTTTACCTGATGTGAGAAAGGCTTCTCGGGGTAGGGCTGGGCGATATGGCTGAAAAATGTATCATGATATAAGTGTTTCATATCAGTCGATACCGATAATTATTGAATTTTTTAAAACATATTTGAAATAAGGACCAGAAGAAAAAAATAAAAAAAAATAAAAAACACTTATTTTAAATGTAACCTTTCCTCAGTAATGAACAAACGAACACAGGGGAAAAAGAGGTCAACATAACCATGAAAAACAGTCAAATAAATAAATATACTGGTTAATTATAAAATCCAAAGTACTGCCAAACTGGCGAACTGACCTTTCCTAGTCTACTGTATGTTAACACTTAAAATAACGTGTACAGATGTGAAGCCCTGGCTGTATCTGACTGAGCCTTAATGAAAGCTGTTGTCTTGTATTTTTTTTCCTCTGAAAATATTAACCTTATAGTCAAACACAGTTTATTCAGCCTGTGTAGTTGAGGGGACAGGTCAAACTGATGACGCTGATTTACAGGAGAATTCATGTCAAATGGAGGTTAAACCATAAACAAAAAATACAGATCACCTGTAAAGCATTTTAATAAATTAATCTATCAAAAAAAAAACAACTGGAGACTGAAAACAAACTGATATATGAATATGATAAAATTTTTAATGAATTGACATCATTCCAGACAGGATGTAAGTGTGTCTGTGACTTCTTGTACGGACTGAAGGCTGCTGGAAACTGTCGGGAAACTGTCCGACTTCACCGCGGCTTTTTGTTGCCGCCCCCTGCCTGCTCTCGTCTACTTTCCAGGCGAGGCGCAGTTCATCTCGAACGAGCCTGTTTTCTCCTTTCACTGTTTTGTTATGAGTTGCAGACACGAGGCACGAAGGTGCAACCAAACATCAAACTGCTAGTGTGCATCTCACTCAACAGGTTATTGGAACATTACGTACGTTACAAGCAGTGAGTGAGTGAGTTTGTTCATGCAACCAGACTTGCTTAGCTGGGCCGGGAGCGCCGGGAGAGGCTGAAGCCCTCGCTGGAACTTCATCCCCCAGAATGCCTTGCAGTTCAGGACGGTGATTTTCTTCCTGTTTTATTAGACGTTTTATCGAACGTATTTTCTATTGATATTGATCATGTGTTTTTATCGTGATAGATATCGCTATCGTTTTATTGCTCAGCCCTATCTCGGGGTGCTAGAAGTATCACAGTTGTCATTGTTTAGGTGAAGGAATAGCAAAGGTTCCATTCCCAGTGATCCAGTTTTTCTTTCTAATGGTACAAAACATGCATATTTGACGTTTAATTGAGATCCCAAAATGGCTGGATGAAATTGTTTAGATGTTACTGAGTGACGATAATAACATTATGTAAGCATGAAAAACACGGACATCAGTATCAATCACTCATCCTGCTTACTTCTCCTTACTGAGGAGACTCACTGTCAGGTCGGCTACCTCAGATGCATTTTAAGATTCGTGGCAAACTAAGCTAAACTGTTGGACGACACACAGACCGCTGTCATTTTGGTCTGTTTTTAACATTTGCTTTAAGCCCTGCTACCGTAATGTGCCTGCGTAAACCGCGATTGTAAACCATAATGGACAGAATCAGAGACTGTGGACAGAGCAGATTGAAATATCACTTTTTACCTGCTGAACACGTTTTGATAAAGTATTGGCAAAGGTTTTATTGCACTTACTTACAGTAACAAGTGTAGTTGTTGTCAACTAGGCTAATCTTAAAGTTATATTCCCTTCATCTGCACTGCGGCCTCTCTGCTGTTGTCTGACTTCACTCTGTTGTGTTTGTGTGTGACAAAATTGCCGATACGTCAGAGCTTATTAATACTATGGTCTTGATTAATTTTGCCCGGGGGTGTTTAATACTGCATCTCGGTACTCCTATTTTGCTGGGCCGCTCAGAGATTGCTTCTGGGCAGGATGTGGCCCACAGGCTGCCAGTTGAAATGCCTGCTCTAAAGCGTGAGTGGGCATAGCTGATGGTTTGAGAGATGGATAATTGCATTTATCAGTTTATTTTATTTGCTGTTTTGAGCATTTGCCATATCTTGTTGTATATTTTTATCAGAAAAATATAATTTTTTTATGTTGTGACATATTTCAACCATAGCACCCAGCCATAATGCCAACTGCAGAGAAAAACAACATCAACAAAAGCCAGGCCCAAAACCAAGACAAAAACAGGAGTTTATTGAAGTGGTAGGTGAATCACTGCTAAGCACAGTTCCCTCAAAGCACGAGTTCCTTGGTTTGTGTGACTATTTGTGAAACAAATTAAATTGTGATTTTCAATAGTTATCAGCTCCTCTAAATGTTGTCTTAATTGGTTTTTCACTGAGCAGATTTAAAAGGTAAAACAGATGTTTGGGGCTGTATCAGCTTGATTGACAGGCTGCTCTCATTTGGCCGTGGTTGTTGCCGTTCCCTTTTCCCACTTGATCTGAAAATTTGCACTTTCTCCAGTAACAGTCAACAGTATTGCTTAGAACACAGCATGTAAAAAATGTGAGGCACCAAATTGCTCCATATATATATTTGTCAATAAATCCTTCAAAAACACGCAAACAAAACAAATATGAAGTGCAAAGCGGAATTTCCTTGAAGACATTTTGAAATTTTACATCATCTTTTGTCAGCACAGTTCTTATGAGACATTCTTGAACACAAAGACAATCATCAAGATTTACGTGAGTTGGATTTTCAGAAAAGGGTTATTTCACTGTCCCACATTCCAAGGTTAGAATCCAATGCAAAGCTTGTACTTGACAAGCTGACACTTCTTTCAAAAAGTCCTTCCATCTTTGTGGCTCTTGTAGCCACTCTACCCAGTACGAAGTCTGTTATAATGTTTTGGTGCCCATATTAGGCGCTTTACACGTATGTCACTGTTCTCGCCAATAATCTGGTCCCAGCAGTATTCGGGGGAGAGCAGCCTGCTTGGTTTGTGAAGCCAAAAGTACTTATTCAGATGACTCTCATCATGCCACAGAGCCTCCACGTTGTTTCCTTTGTCCTCCATGATACCCAGAAAGCAGAAATCTGCCAAATTCTTCACATTTTCCGACAAGCCTCCGAAGAGAGCAGCGTGGTAGTAGTAATCTCCAGTTTCCATGAAGGCTTTGGATTTGGGGTTTCTGTCGTAGGTGAATTTGTGCTTTGGTAGTTTGTAAAACCACGCGTGTAGCAAAGCCACAGAATCCCCCAGAGCCTCTGAGCCAAATCTTCCCTTAAACACTTGATCCACATCAAAGCAGAAGACATATCTGCAGTGGTGACGAATCTCTGATTCAATGGCATCTGATATCGTTTTCATCCGCATCATGGAGATGTCCTGCCACCTGGACTGCTTTTCCACCTGGATAACCTTCAGGCTTCGCTGAGGGCCGAGCTTGATATTTGGTACCTTCTCTGGTTGATCTGTGAACACGTAATATGTCACCTGTAACCCCAACATAAAGTGTTGTTCTGCCGAGGTAAGGAAAGTCTTGAGGTAGGTGTCAAGGTACCTTAGGTGGAGACAGAGAGACAAACACTTGCTTTTGCTCATAACTTAAGATGATGACACAAAAACACAAAAAATAAATAACTACATTTAAATAGATAAAAAAAATCCCTATACTATTGTGTTTCTCATTCCATTATTTGAGACCCAAGCCCATCTGTCCCACATTCCTCTAATCCTGAAAGTAATGTATGAAAAACAAGGAATGACGTTTGGGTCGGTAGAGCCATGTGAACACAACTGAGGGGACAGTAAAGTACAGAGTGTAAAAAAGCATCCCTCTTCTTCTACAATCCGTGGAAAATGAAATTGTGTCGTCAAGTTTGTTTTAAATGCTTTTCTCGTCTCATATACTTCATTATTGTTTAATATAAAATTGCTCTTCAATTTTATTCCGAGTAGCAGCAAACAGTCTTGAATCCAACTAAGCTGTAGGAACCCTGGTGTCTTGTTCAGGTGGATTCAGAGAAACAAGAAACAAACCTTCCCACAGCAAACACGGTGAGGGCCACAGATGTCTGGTTTTGGATGTGGTTTTGGTCATAAAGTTTGGGGTCAAACATCCCCTCCCAGATGATAGGAGCTTTCCAAGATGTCCGTGTATCAACTCCCTGTCTGGCCCTGAAAAGGAAGATGAAAACAGATATGTGTTAAACAGCCATGTGAGAAGGACATTTACATTGTGTTCACAATCATGAGCAAGTAATGAAACATTAAGTGCCAAAAGGAATTAGAAGTTATATTGTAACTGCCTCCTAAAATATTTACTTTATCTTGTAGTTTCAATCATAATAATGATTAAACTACCATAACATGTGTTTTATTTTGTTAATGTTAATGATTTGATTTGAATTTAGACTTTTTTTGATGTCTGTACTTGAGACAGGCAGGTGTGCTGATGTCTGGTCAGCAGTAAACCATGAATATAACCGTGTGTGTTCAGTGTGAGTCTGAACCGCCAGACCAATGAAGCTGATTTAGTGACACGTAGAGAAATTGTTTCATTTGTTTTGCATCTTCTGATCGGCCTTTACAGAGATCACCAATTAAACTATTTAGAACAAATGTCGGCCGATAATAACAGGTGATTGATTGATTTATAATCCATGCTGGTTCCAGATCTGGCTGCTTAAAGTTGAGATAGCAAGTTAGTTCTGTGTGAAGAGCAGTGGCATTAATCGTAAAAGATAAACACTGCACACTGCTGTCCTACTTGTCATGAAACTATATGTCCTACGAGTAGACAGAAAGGGAAGTACCAGACTTGATGTGAGTAATTCCATGTAATTGTTGGGTTACTGACAGGCTACAATATAAGCACAGGGTGAGGGAAGAGGACGTTAATCCCTGAGGGAAAATGCAGTTTTTTCACTCTGCTGTTACACACACAGGTTCAAAATACACACACACGTACAAAGAGAACCTATACAGGTGCAGACAGACAGATGTCAGAGTGAGGGGGCTGTCTATGGACAGGTGCCCTGAATAGTTGAGGGTTTGGTGCCTTGGTCAAGGGCACATTGTCAGTGCCCAGAAGGAGAAGTGGCCTCTCCAGCTACCAGTCGACACTATATTTAGCTCACGTGCAGACTTGAATCGGTGACCCTCTGGCTCTCTGAGCTACTGCTGCTCCAAAGTGGGTGAAGTGCAAACACTCAAACTATGGTGGCTCCAAATAAACCACCCACTGTATTTGTGGATTCATTTCATTCCAATGCTGTGTATCAGAGAGGAATATAAGAGTTTTGTGAGATCAGGCTGTTCATCATTAAACAAATCTGTCATTGTAACGTCACACAAGCTGAGCAGGCCTTCCTGGAGGCTGGGTTTGACGTGCAGAGCAGGGCAGTTAAGTGGCAAAATATTACCTTTTATAATCTCGTCAGCATTAACTGACCAGACAAAACATTGATTTTCAGTCTGTACAAAACTATGATGAAGTCTATGTTTGATTTTTGTTGACGAGATGAGACATGACAAACTGTATCGGACATTGAAAGCCGAAAAAAGGCTGTTCTTGTAATTATCTTCAAATGCTGCAAGAGCGTCAGGCTGGTAAACTCCAGTAAATAGTCCACAACAGGATGTTTCACTCGCTGCTGAACAGCAGTGAAGCAGCAACCGGCCGTTGAAATTCACAGGTGATCCCGGTGAAGGTTTATGGGTTGATAGTGTTTGGCAGGAGGCTCAGTTCGGTTTTCTCTGACAGCTGAAAGTTTAGTTTGAATCACCAACTCTGTGAGAGGACACCAGTTTAAACCTCCAGACTAACATGTTGCAGATTAAGAAAGGATTCAGGCATTGATTAGGTTATTTCTCTGCTTCTTAACAGTGCGATCGAGTTTACAGCAAACCTGGGGACAAATCCTAGTTGTCTCAGATTGGTTATTTGTGGTGTCAAAGTTTTTGAGAGCATAAATAGAGAGATGTTGAGATTTGCAAATGATAATCAGTAAGTGTGTGCTCGGAAATCAGCCCTTAAACCTGTCAAACACTGCTGTACAAAAGCAAGTTTGTAATTGTGTAGAATTTATTTGTAGCTGTAGAAAAAAAAAGTTAAAATAAAATGTTTATACAAGTTGTCACCTTGATTATAATTTCTGATACATGCTTTAGCCTCACTGGATTAGTTTCAAGATAATCAAAGGCATAGAAAACATAATGACTTAAAGTTAAAGTAAGACCATCATCACTGTATTTTTATTCTGCTAATGGCAATGATGCCAGCGAGGCATATATTTTAATCATCCTTTCGTAAAAGCAGTTGGGCAGTGTGTTGTTTTTAAATATGCCCTTTAGATAAATCGACTTGATTTCTGAGGTTATGTGACAAAACAAATGTCTCATCTCTTACCTGAAGTTCAGCGTGCGGTCTAAGTTGACACTCCATCTTAGTTTTCCTTCACTGGTCACCAGCAGGTTTTCCGCAGGGACGAGGCTTGCCAAATATCTAACATTAAAAAGTTACCATCATTAACCCAGAATAGAATAATTTTGAAGTGAATCTTTTAAATAAATTGAATTGCCTCGCATCGGTCTTCAAGGGCAATAGTGATGACTTTTGTACTCACCTTAAATATAAGGAGGTGAAGCTGACAACGAGCAACACAAGACAGCAGAAGGTTCCAGCGCTCCTTTCCTTTAGCCCACTGAAGAGATGCCAAATCAAACAAGAACACCTGAGTTAAGCCTGTTTAATATATGGTTATAAATGACTTAGTGTTTGATGTTGTACTGATCATGCAGACAAATGGCCAAGTGTGTATGAGACTGAAGTGGCTGTTAAATGAACATGATAAAAGTGATGAGCATTCTGGTCTTTGGTTTAAATTTACTGTCACTGAAATACTTATACCATTAAACTCCAATCTAGACTTGCTTGCGATTTTTTGGGCCGAGTGTTTGGACGGCCGATTCCGATTTTGGCCGATTCCGATTTAATTTTTTTCAAACCACTTTACAGCACACAAGATATTGCAATATTTTCTATCTTTGCTTTTTGCTTTGCATTTTAACCAAGATACAACCAGCTTTTCCATAATTATCTCAAACAAACAAACAAACAAACAAAAACAGTGACACAGGTTAAGAAACATTTTCCTTTTTGCTCAAATATATATATATATACAGTACAGGCCAAAAGTTTGGACACACCTTCTCATTCAATGCGTTTTCTTTATTTTCATGACTATTTACATTGTAGATTCTCACTGAAGGCATCAAAACTATGAATGAACACATGTGGAGTTATGTACTTAACAAAAAAAGGTGAAATAACTGAAAACATGTTTTATATTCTAGTTTCTTCAAAATAGCCACCCTTTGCTCTGATTACTGCTTTGCACACTCTTGGCATTCTCTCCATGAGCTTCAAGAGGTAGTCACCTGAAATGGTTT